CAGGGCTGACAGACGTTGTTAATCTCAACTTTTTTAAGCCAAAAGAGAATTTATAGAGCTGGGGTTCCACTGCAGCTGGATCCAGAGCACAGAAAGGTCAGACCCAGGCTTTATTTCACCTCTCACTCTGCCTGATGCACAGGTGCCTGGTGCAGAGGTAGCGGCTGGCAACAGGCCCACCAGCTCAGAAGTCCCAGAGCTAAGTCATCAGACTTCTGACTGGCGCATCCTGTATCACGTGCTATTCCTGAGCCAATCACCAGACCCAAAGAGAGTGGACGTGCCTATTCATTGAGCCCTGGATAGAATTGGTTTCACTGTATGAACACAGGCTGAGAGGGGCGAGGGATTCCCCAGACAAAAATCAGGTAAGTTATACCTTCATTGGGGAGTACCCACAGGAGACAAAAACAACTAACACTCCTTAGAAGAATTCTGAAGAAGCTCACCCAAGGCATAAGCCCTGGGGGGACTGCTCCAGGAATAAAACACATAGGAAGAAGGAGACAGGGCCTACACAACTGGTACTGTGTGAAGGAGAAAGACAGCCTGCTACAAGCTTGAGGAATGAAAATGTCACTCTGGAAACACTGCATTTTTCAAATGGTGCATCATGTGTGCTTTGAAAACAGTTTTCATTAGCTTCCCCTCGACCTTTGAGCTTGCTGCTCCTTTCATTTTCCTTCAAATGAACCCATAATTCCATCTCAAGAATTTAACTGGAACTAATTCCTTTATTAAATAAACTTCATTTAGGAGCTGACTGCCTTGGGCCTGTGGAGAAAATGCATCTTTGCTTTTGCTGTGACCAATGTACGTCAGCAAAGCAAAAGCTCATTTTGTTAAGAGACCTGAACTACAGCTTGGATGAAGGGTGGAGGAAGCTTTCACTCTTGAGGTGCAAAGAAAATGAGCTATCACAGCATGGGCAGGCACCAGAGGCCACCTACTGATTCCCCCACCTTCTACGAGGACAGCACCTGGACAAGGGGTATCTCCATCCTCACAAACAGGACCAGCAACATCTCTATCACAGATTCAGAGGACCCCCTCATTGCCTTAGAGAGAGGAGGCAAAAGTAGTTCTTCCAAGGGTGGTGATGTATCAAGGTTTGCAAGGGAAGTGATTTAATACAGGATACATAACTTAAAGGATTATTTTATAATATTCACCCAAAAAGTCAAATGCAGAGGAGTGCAAGAGATCTAACTATACCCTAGAGACACAAAGAGTCCAACCAAGGGCCTGGATCCCTCAGCAATGTCCCACACAAGTCCAGCTAAAGGCCTAGAGTCCAAGGCAGTGTCCTCCATGAGTCCAGCCAGAGGCCTGTCTCACACTTGTCCATATCAAGGATCTGCACCGGGAAGGCCAGTGGTGGAAGCTAGAAAGCCTGAGCCCACAGGGTGCCAGATCCGTGCCACAGGACAAGGGATCTACACTGGAGCTGGAAGCTCAGAGCTCCTCTGAGGAAAACATCAGCCATTCCCAGTGACAAGGACCCAAGCTCCTCCTAGGATGAGAGAACACTCAGGTTCACATCAGGAAAAACACCCCCAGAAAGTCTCTCCAAGAAAAGCAACAGCAAAAGATCTTCCCCTCCAGTTCTCTTTTTATGCCATTGGCAACAATCCTCAGGTGGGTCTCCCACGCCCAAACCACAGTGTTTCAGTTCAGCTGGGCGTACCAAGTTGACCGTTATTTAATCCACCACAGGTGGCTTGCTTGTTTAGGAGAGAGAACAGACACCGAAATAATTGGGGTTGTTATGTAACCTATGTCCTTTTGTTAGCCTCCTGCTATCTTTGTTGCTTCCCACAATGAGTAGGGCCAGCCTGTGCCATCAACAGAATATTGCAGAAATGATATTGTCTTTGGAGGGCAGTCATAAAAGATACTGTGCCTGCTGCCTTAATAACTCTTGGATCATTGAATATGGAAGAAGCCAGCTGCCATGTTATAAAGACACACAGCTCTCTGGGGAACTGGGGGTATAATGCTTGCTTGACCGGCACCAGGACCTGGGTTCAATTCCCAGCACCACAAAAACAAAACAAAAAAGCAGCCCTCTGAAAAGATGCACATGACAGAAAATAGAAGCTCCTGCCTACATGCATGTGGGCGGGCCAGGTCAGAAGCAGTCTTCTACCCTCACTAAGCCTTCAGATGACTGAAGCTGTCCTATTGTCACAGGAGAACTACTAATTCCTGACCCTAGAAATGGAGTAAAAGTTCTTTGAAGCCACTACACTTTGGGGGTGACTATGCAGTAATCAATAATGAAACCCCACTTCCAGATGGAGGCAAACAAGTCTTACCTCTATATTTGCAGTGTGTGCTCAGGGACGGGTTCCCACCCTACTGTGTAGAAGCTGCCTGAGGGCAGAGACCAAGTCATAATTATCCCCTCTCCCTACTTATTCCCCTAAGCACACTCCCCCAACACACACACTGTAAATGCTTAATAAACACTTAACATAATTGCACGAATGTGTCTATGTAGGCTACACCTTGGAATCCCAGAGATACTTCTTTCTCCCAGAATTAATTCCCTTCCTCCGCTCAAGATGCAATAAGCGCCTTTTCAATTAACAGAGACCACTTCAGCCCAGATCTCAACCAGCTTAGTGCGATTCAGTGGATGCTTTTTGCAGAGACAATGGCTACTTACCAGATTCCAAAAGTCAATGCAATTGATTCAGGAAATTGTGTCCAGCAGACAACCTCAATATCCCAGGAGGGACCTCCCCACAGCCCAGATCAGCACACACATCTGCCTGGCCTGTTCCCTTCTCCTGCTGAGTCACAGGCTTTGAGCTGCCCATACATCAGAGAGGACTTGGCCTGTGCTCACTACCTGCCTGCCATTCAGCCCAGGTATCTGACACACAGCCCTGTCCTCAGGGGGCTTGCAGACAGCCCAGCTGGAGATGTTCACAGGGAAAAATCAGCCACACTTAAATCTGAATTTGCCAAGGATCAGTTGCAGTGTCATTGGGTGTAAATGACCATGGAGAACTTAGGGGAGGGGTCTTCATTCAGGAAAAAATGTGCTACCTCCTCTTCTCAGGATACAGGTGCTCAAAGAGCTCACAGGGAGACTGTAATACTTCAGTAGAGTTTTAAGGACTGAGCAAGAAGAGCCTGGGAAGAAAGGACAATCCACGCTGTGAGGTATCATAAACAAACTGCCCAGGGACCACGAGCAGTTTGTCATGACTGAGCGTGAAGTGTGAGGTGGAGGTGAAGAGGGGTAAGGTTGGGGATGTGGGTCATGGAGAACTAGGAGACATTCTTCATGGGCCTTTCGCCTTTCTGCACATCTTGTGAGCAAAGCCGCTGTGTTCTGGACTTTCTTTCTAAGAGTATTTGTATAATGATCAGCTTTGGAAGATCGAAGCACAGTTGTTCTTCCTTTGGATCAAAGAGCAGGCATGCTGACTACCCATTACTTTAAAAGTCAGGGACACTGGATGGTCTTTTCCTGTAACACAACCCATTGCGTGTACAGATGGCCCTGGACCTTGGCATTGCTCTGGGGACATCATAATTCAGGGAACCAGTACTGATACTCTGGCTACTACAGCTGCCATGAGAATAGAGTCCCATGGTGCTGACCCGGGAGTCTGGTGTCTCTTCCATCAGCAACAATGCTCCCTGCAGTTGTTAACCAAAGCCACCTAGGGCTATGAGCCTTCTCACCTGGCCTCGCATTCCTCTGCAGACAAGCAGTCTGAACCTCCTGGAAGCGTTCAGTTGCCTCAGGATTCCATAAGAAAATACCACAAACTGGCCCCTGGAGGGCTGTCGCATTCCTGTAAACCCAGTACCCTGGGAGGCTGAAGTAGGAGGATGGCAGATTTGAGTCCAGCCTGGACAATTTAGCAATTAGTAACTTATCAAGACCTTGTCTCAAAATCAAAAGTCAAAGACTGGGGGACCGGGGATTTAGCTCAGTGGTTCCACTGCCTGCCTTGCAAGCGCAAGGTCCCAAGTTCAATCCTGTTCAATCTCCAGTACCAAAAAAAAAGTGAAAGACAAAGGATGTCACTCAGTGAAAAGGTCCAGTAGGTTCTACCCCCAACACCACAGAAAATTACAATAAAACACTCTGGGGGCCACTCTGGGGGAGAGGGTACTTAAACAACAGAAATTCCATTCTCACAATTCTTCAGTGCTTACAGACAACTACCTTTTCACTGTGTCCTTCATGGGAGAGGGGTGTTCTAGTGTCTCCACTTATAAGGGCACTAATCCCACCATGAGGACCCCACCCTCATGACCTCATCCAACCTCATTCTCTCAAAGGCCCTGTCTCCAAATACCATCACTTGGCAAGGGAGGGTCAACATTTGAATGAGAGTGGGCGGGGTTCAGTTCACAGCAGGCAGTCCTGGGTCCTGTGCCCAAGAACTCCCAAGACATTCACACCTACTGATTTACCCTGGAGCACCTATGGGTCCCTCAAGTCCCCAGCTTAATAACAGAGCTTTGAACAGCTGGTTCAGCCTCCTGCCGCTTGGAGGGAAAGGCAGCATCATCTAGACTAGATGGCTGCTTCTCCACTTAAAAATCTCAGGGAAGGGCCGGGGATTTAGCTCAGTGGTGCCGCCGTCTGCCTCACAAGCCCAAGGTAGCGAGTTTGATCCCCAGTACAAAAAAAAAAAAAAAAAAAAAAAAAATCTCAGGAAACTGAAATGCTCCTCACCCCTCTCTGAAATGCCAATGTACCCTAAGAGTTGAATTGATGGATTATCAGAACATATTCCCCTTTGAGTTCATCTAAACCAAATTTCTGGATTTTTTAGTTCCACTGAAGACAACACCTGGTATTCTAACAATGTTTTTTTCTTTCTTTCCCAAATACTCCCCCAGCATGTTTGAAAGTCAAACGGGAAGTCAAAAATGGAAATGTTACAGTAGTCCAGGCATTCTTCATCACCATTCAGTAGCAGGCTAAAGCAACAGGAGCTGAGCTACCTCTGGTTAAGGGACCTCACCTGCTTAGTGTCTGAGAATCTGGAAGTTTCAGCCACAACCTGAGTCTGGAAAAGCAACCAGAGCAATGGACAGGCTGAACGAGAGACTGCAAGGTGAAGTGGGTCCCCCATGTGCAGCTGGAACTCTTCCTCTCTAGAGTACCCTCACAGGCCAACCCAGCAACTCCACGGCTGCACTCCCTGGCGCAGACAGATGAGGGTCCTACAGACCGGTGCATTCACCAGCTTCCAGTTACTACAAAGAGACACCCAAAATAATTAGCTTATCAAAGATTATTTAGCTCACAGTTCTAGAGCTCAAGTCCAAGATTAAGTAGCCCCTTTGCTGTGAGTCACTGGTGTATCAATGGTGTGAAGCTTACAGCAGAGTAAAAAGTTCCCATTATGAGCCAGGAAGCAAAAAAAAAAAAAAAAGTCAAGAAAGGGCTGTGGTCCCAAAATCCTCTTTGAGGGGACATAACTCAGTGACTGAAGGGCCACCCTGGAGCACAAGCTTTTAACACACGGGCCTTTGCAGGGGCATTCAGGATCCAAACTATAGCACCCAGGAATCCTGGGCTTCCCCTATCCACTTCCTGGCCAGCTCCCAAACATTCTAGCTTAGCAATTAAGCAAGACCCTATCTCCAAATATAAAATTTTAAAAAGGAGTGAGGATGTAGTTCAGTTGGTACAAAGGACCAGGGCTCAATCCTCAATATCACAAAAAGAAAACAATGACTTCATCAATGGTGCACTTAAAACTCTAGAAGCCTTTGCTATTACACTATTTCTGACTTGTTCTATATTTGATTCAATCAATTGTCACCTTTCAACTTACAAGTTTCTCACGATGGTGACAACATACAGAGTTTAGGGAAGAAAAGATGTGCTGGCGGGGAGAGCAAAACAGAGGAGGCTCCTACCTGGGGTTCAAATCTGCAGAACCATTTTCCTGTCTCACTGTAGTCCAGGGAGAATGGAGCAGCCATCAGTGCAAGATTTTAAACTTCAATCCTCAGGGCCCCTCTACCCAGAGGAGTTTCTTACTTTATCTGCTGAAGAGTTTGGTAAGATCACATCTCCTGGACCTCCTTTGAGGGTGTGGTTGCCCTGGGTCTCACCCAAGAATACATCACAGTTTTTTATCCCTTCTAATTAGTGCCCAATGCAGGAATTGATGGACTGAAAATTAACATCATTGATCTTCATCCAAGAATATGGTCAACAAGGCATAATTTTTTTTTCTGATCAATATTACTGATCAATTACCTAATTTAAAAAAAAAAAAAAAGTAAGGAGAAGGAAGGGCCTCCCGGGGCATCAGAGAGAATTTATGTGCCTCCTGTGCTCTCCTGTGCCTCAGGGCTGGGTCTCTGCTTGAGATTCATCATCAATAACAGATAATCTTTCAAGCAGGAGGAGATATTTGCGGTCCATGATTCCAAGGAAAGCATGTGTGTCTCCAGGAGGAGGGGCAGTCCAGCACCTCCCAAAGCAATGGACCCTCTCAGTCTTCTGCAATGGTTTATTAGGACCCTCAGTAGGAAGGAGGCCCGGGAGTACTGAAGAAAAACACTTCACTTGCCCCCAGTTATATCGAACAGAGATAAGCCTAGCTCTTGGGGACTCCGTCCACACCAGATGAAATTCTAACTTCAGGTTCCTCCGTGAAGGGAAAGCGGTAATACCGCCCCAGGGTGTAGCTGGTCTGCATCCCCCTCCCTGCTTTGGCTTCTCCTCCCACAACTCCTCCTGCCCCCACCTCTATCCCTACTCCATTAGTCACAGCTCAGCGGCCAGGCAAGGGGCTCACCTTGTCACACTGCCGGGTTTATTCATGACCCTCCCTAGGGGGATTTGCCATTGCAAAATAAACCTGTGGAGAAATCTATACTCTTCTCAGAAGCACGAATCTCCAAAGTCTGCATTTGGGGGCCTGGGGCTTCCCAAAGCAGGAGTTTGCTGATAACCGCACTGATGGGCCTGAGGAGCCAGCACTCCATTCTGCCCCTGGGACTATACTGCTGAGGAAGCCACCTTTCCTTCTAAGCAGGGGCCAGCCCTGTCCCCTTATTTCTGCCTTTCATCTCTCACAAACACACTCTGTGCGCCCCACACTGCACCAGCTCTGTGGCTGCACCAGGCTCTGACGGGCACGTGATGGAGATTGGAGTTTATGATTCCTTCCCTCCCCTCTGCCTTTGGCCTCCACACCACAAGTGCTTGTTCTCCTGTGAGGAGGGGCAGACATTGCAATCAAGTGGTTTCTAATGTGGATGTCACCAGTAAATGTCACCAGATAGTCACTAAATGTCAAGAAAGAAAGAAAGAAAGAAAGAAAGAAAGAAAGAAAGAAAGAAAGAAAGAAAGAAAGAAAGAAAGAAAGAAAGAAAGAAATTTTGCTAAGTAGCTTCTGCTCCTTTTCTCAGTTCCTACCTCGGGACAGAAAAGGACACTCATCACACGAAATGCATGAGCTCGTGTCCATACATCACTGCCTGATGCTGTTATTATTTACTCTGTGGGTATGACTGTCTCTTTCCATGGTGATAACAAGGTCACTGAGCAGAAAATCCCCCAGCAAGAGGGGGGAAAGGGCACCTCAAAAAACCAACGGGAGTGGAAATCAATCCCTCACCTTCCTCAAAGCCGCCCTGCCTTGTCACAGGCTGCAGTCAGCCCACGAATCCTGCCATCTGGAATGGCTCCTCGCCTCCTCTCCCTCCACCGCGTCGATGCACCTTCAGTTTCCGACTGTCATTCACAATCACACGTCTTCCCCCGGGTCTCGTAATTTCTGTCTCCTCTTAACCTCTGTACTATTAAAGCCCACTCGACTCTGCACTGCCTGTCCTGAACGTGTTGATCAAGCTCCAGTTACAGTGTTTATGGAGGAATAACCGAGCCTGGGATATCCGCCGTTTTTAGTCACAAGGGCTGTGACTCTCTGAAGTGGTCCAGTAAACCAGATTTTTGACAGGCGTGGAGGGGAATGACTACGCTCAGGCTCCAGAAGACAAGCTCTCCCGTTCCATTCCTTGTGTTACGCTGCCCTCTAGTGACGGACTCTATGTACTACTGCACACCGTGAGCAGCTTTTATGTCTAGTATTTTAAATCCTTCCCCCAGTGGGAGGGAATATACAAACCAATAAATAATAAATGCCAGTATAACCTATCGTGGCCCAAATAGCCAAATTAATATTAAATCCAGTTATTCTTCATAAGCTAAGGAATGTCATTATATAGAAAAATAGATTTTCTAGAAGTCTCGACCTTTGTCAAAAATCTGACGTATGTGCTGTCATAATAGGCGCCTCCAGCCACCTCTTCCTTCACCTTCTCCTACCACCCAATCTAAACCAGATGAGCTGCGGCCTTGTTCCGCTCCCGATGGGAAAAGAGCAGGGGCATTTCACAGCCGCCCGTGCTCCTAAGGGAGCCCTGCCAGTGACCAGGAGGGTGCAGACGTGTCCTCCACCAGTACACTCGAACTGCTGGGGACCTTGACAAGGCCACAGACCTGAGAAACAGAGAAGCTGCTCCAAGCTCTGCAGGAGGCCTGCTGCCCCCACTCGGCGGAGAGCGGCTCTGCAGACAGCACCCCCGTGAATTTAGGGCTAGTTCCCCTGGAACCACACCCTGGCTGGAGGGATGGGGCTCCAAGAGGTCACCAAGGTGAGGGAAGGGGTCCACTCCGAATTCAAAGCAGAAGTGAAGTCATGCTCCAAACTGGTAACCTCCACATCCCAGCTCTTCAGGGACCACATCCCAGAGTGCCGAGGCTTGGGGAAGCCAGGAGTGGTGGCACATGTCCAATCTCAGCTCTCAGGAGGCTGTAGAAGGCTGATGGCGCACCCGAGGCCATCATGTGCTACATAGCGAGTTTGAGGCCGGCCTGAACTACAGTGAGACCCTGCATCAAAGTACAAAAACACCACTGTGGAAATCAATATGGAGATATCACAAAAAACTAGGCTTAGAAGTCCCATTTGACCCAGCTATTCCTCCGCTGGGAATCTTCCCAAAAGAATTAAAAGAATCATGCCACAGCGATATATGTGCACTCGTGTTTATAGCAGCAGTTTGTAATAGCTAAAACTTGGAAACAGCACGATTGCCCATCAACTGGAGACTGGATGAAGATGTGTTTTGTTTTGTTTCTAATATATATATTAGAGTATTACTCAGCCATAAAGAATAAGAAACTAGAGACATTTATAGCTAAATGGATGCACATTGAGGCCATACTCTTAAATGAAATAAATAAATGTGTAAATACCAAAGTTTTTCTGGTGTGAAAAACTAATGAAAAGGATCAAAATGTATAATTGATAATGTGCAACAGGAAGAAAATATCTAAAGGAGTAGGGGGAGTGGGAGGGCTGGAGGAAATGAAAGAAGGGAAAAGAAAAAGTATGAGAAAAGGAAACAATAGAAACAAAGTCTTTATAAATGTAGGATAGAGAGGGTGAAGGGAGAGCAGGAGTACAGGAAAAAAATAAGAACCAAGATACATCACGTAAAGATAGATATATGATATAAAGATATAAGATCCCAATGATGAATGTAACTGTACTGTAAAATGTACCAATAAACTTAATGAAACAAATACAAAAACCAAAACAACTAGGAGGACATAAATATTTACCAGACTGCTATGGCTTCTATCTCGATGCCCTCCCTCATAGGTGGAAGGGCATTGAGGAAGTGTCTACACCACGGGTGTGTGATACTCGGCAGTGGATCAGTCCACTGATGAGTTCACAGCTAAATGTGGCTGGGAGGTGGAACCTGGCCAGAGGAAGAGGGTCCCTGGTGAAGGGCCTGGAAGGGTACATCCCGCTCCGCAGCACCTCCCTTGATGCTCTCAGCATCCCAGCTGCCCCAGCTGAGCAGCCCTCTGCTATGCCATCCTGCTGTGAATCAGCCAAGGCGTTGGGTACTGTGTCTCAGCAAGAAGAAACTGACTTAGACACAGATGACTGAGAGAGCGTATGTGGTCTGGGATGCATTCTCAGGAGTTGCGTATGTAGGCATTTACCATCACAGAGAACAATGAAAGTGTTTTTCAACTCTATAATTTCCATGTCTCAGCTGAAAGTCCTCATCTGTTCAGCCATTGGGTTCATCTTTTCCTCTAAGTTATTTGATGTATTTATCATTTTAAAGGTCATGTCTTCCAGTTCCAACATCTGGACCAGCTATTGTTCAAGTGACTGTTCTTATCTCATGATAGAGGTCCCAGTTTCCTGCTTCTGTGGGAATATATATATATATATATATATATATAATTTTATATTTTCCACAGGCTGGTGTTTATTAAAGAACTGAAAAGAGAAGACTAAAAGCTATATCCACCTCCCAGAAAGTGTGCACATTTTCCTGTCAGGCAGCCATATAGAAGGGCAAATCTCTTGTCTGAATCAGGTCTAGTTTGGGCCCCCCTAAATTGAAATGTCTTAAAGGGAAGGTGTAACCCCTATATATATAATTTTATATTTTCCACAGGCTGGTGTTTATTAAAGAACTGAAAAGAGAAGACTAAAAGCTATATCCACCTCCCAGAAAGTGTGCACATTTTCCTGTCAGGCAGCCATATAGAAGGGCAAATCTCTTGTCTGAATCAGGTCTAGTTTGGGCCCCCCTAAATTGAAATGTCTTAAAGGGAAGGTGTAACCCCTACCTCCAGCTGGGCCCTGGAATCCAAGCAACACAAACCCAGACTTATTTGCTCTCCAGGCCTGTAACAAATCCAGTGGAGTGATTATATCTTAGCTCCTTTCCCCTGGTTCCCCATATTTTGGGTGGCAATGGACTCATCTGTATATACATACACAGATCTTCGGGCCTGAAGCCCGTGACTGCTCCCCCAAAGTTGACCACAAGTCAGGACAGGCGAGAGGAAATACACAAACCTGTGTAGCCCGCAGCGATGTCCCTGCAGTCCTCCCAAGGCTTCAGGAGCCACCCATCAACTCAGTGAAGACCTCTTCATTCCCCAGAGAGCCTCCTGCCCATTTGACACTGTCCCCCAGGAAAACCCAGACCAAGCTTTCCTCTGTGGCTTCAGCCTACCGTGTAAAGCTTCAGAGAACTGAAAGCATCCACAAGAGTTGTGTTTGGTACTTACTTGCCTACCCCGTGTGAGTCTATGGTTAGCCCTGGCACCTACTGCTGAGTTTCTTCATTATCTATTAAACCTGAGCATACTTGACGGCCAGCATCACTGTGTCCTGGTTCTCCCCGACACACTGCTCCCCTTGTCAGTACTCTATAGACTTGGACTGGTATCCAGATCTTGTACCCTAATGAAGGATACCACCTCCAAAGCATGGTCCCTGACAGGCGGGTCTAACATGCACCTCATCACATGCACCAAGTCCCTAGGAAGCAGGTATAGGAGAATCCCTAATTCAAAATCTCAAAAGTTCTGACATCTGAAGGGTTCTGAGCGAGTTTGGGATTTCAGAGCATTTCAGACTTTGAATTTTTCAGATTAGGGATGTTCAACCACTAAAATCTGTGCAAACATCCTCAAGTCCAGAAAAACTCCCAAATCTAAACTACTTCTGGTCCCAAATGTTACCTGCACTATTAACAACCTGTTGCAGACAAGGTCTTCCTGTGTGGAAATGCAGGCTTCACCCTCTCAAACCCAACATTATTATCTTGCTATAAAAACTTTCAGTACATTTGTATAAATCATCCTAATTGTTTTTCTTTATATATTTGGTTTGACTTATTAACATTTTGTAACCACACTAAAAGTTGCACAATTTAATGCTTCATGATATTCCACTATAAATGTTACCTAAATATGCCACACCTGAAAAACAAATTTTTTTTTTACAATACAGATTTGGGCAAGCATGAGGCTCTGAGTTCAATTCCCCATATCAAAAAAAAAATTTTTTTTAAACGACCCACTTTCTAAATAAGAATCTCCTAGTAAAAGGAGTCTGAATTTTTTAAAGTTTATTCTGTGATTGACTGTCATACATTTAATTAATCTACTTAATAAGTTAGCACATATTTCATTTGCTTAGTCAATCACTGAATTGTTTCCACATTTTTTTTCTAGTCTACAAACAATGACAAAGCTCCTTAAAGCTATCTCTCTACATACAAACACAATTATTTTCGGATGGTTTGCTTTTTAAAAAATAATGTAGTCAGGAGGAAACTATGGAATAACTGCAGCTATGATAGTACCCAACCCCCTCACCATCTGGGAACCGTAGAGAAGACCGGCAGACATTCATAGCTGCCCTGGATATTCAAGAAGGGTCAATATAAAATGAGATCCCTCCAGAAACTCAAACCCAGACATCTGTCTTCTCACACGGCTCCATAACCACAAATCCCCCTTGAGTCTATAGTCCCAAACTGCCTTCCACATCTTCTGCTGTTTGGTGCTGTCGCAAAGCTTACATTTGTCAGGAGTGTCACTCGGCGGCAGAGCACGTGCTTAGTACACGTGAGGTGCAAGGTTTGACCCCCACCCCCGCACCAAAAAAAAAAAAGTTCACATTTGTTAAGGTATCTATTATACAACATGGTGACTATAGTTAATGACAATATACTGTACACTTCAAAATCACCGATTTTAAGTGTTTTCACCACAAAAAAAGGTAGTTAAGTACATAAGGTAATTTGTGTTACTTAGCTTGATTTAGCCATTGTACAATGTATACATATTTCAAAACATCATGTTGTACACCATACTTACAATTTTTATTCCTCAACTAGAAACAATAAAGCTCATAATTAGTAGTTGACACGGTATCAGTCAGTCCCCAAGCATATTTCCTCAAACTCAGTTCTGAAAATCACTCACTACTCACAGGTATCTGCAGAGCAACACATTTTGGTTTAACTGTTGTGTCTCCACGCTGATATCAGGTAATCTACAGACAGACTAAATGCATTCAAGCTCGCTGAATTTCTGGGCTTGCATTCTTAGGCTTAAGATCAAAATGCCACAAGGTCATCACCAAAGAAACTTGAAACCAGTATTTCTCAAACTAGTATCTGTGGACTTTTTTTAGGGCTTTGAGTTTTTTCTCCCCTTAAAAGGAGTTTACATGGTGCCTAAAGTTGAGAACCACTGACTTATAAATACAGACACCATACTGTTTTTCTCTCCTGCCCAGCACGCAGCCCAGGACTGGCACTCTGTGAAAACTAAGCTACACACTTCTGCACCCAGGAACTGGGTTTGAGCCTGGCCCTTTCGTCCCATTTGGAGATCCTCAGAACGAAGAGAATCATTTCTCTGCCTTTTATCGTACTGATACAAACTGGTATTCTGAGCCTTGAGAATGCTTTCTGGGACCACTAAGGCCGATCCCACTCACTTTACAGATAGCAAAGGGGAAGGACCTAGGAATAGGAAATGCCTTAAGCGGGGTCACAGAATTGGTTAGTGGCGGAAACAACTATACCCTTTACCAGCTATCCCACTCTCACTGCCAGTTCCCCACAGGGGCTGCCTCCGCCGACCTTTAAAAATGTGACGAGAGAGCTCACAGACCTGACTACCACTGCACCACCACTTCGGTCCCACTTCCGCCCTCCCTGGTCCCCAACCTCCCAGTGCCCTTTCCAAGTCGGCTCGAGGTCTTCAACAATATCCCTCCGCCTACAGAGACAAAAGCTAGCCGGCCGGGTTAGTCCAGTGGCAGAGTGTCAGCTTAACAAGAACGAGGCTCTGCGTTCCAGCCCTAGAACCGGGGGAAAACAAAACAAAACAAAAAAACTGAAAAGATCCCACAAAAATCCACGGCTACTTAACTCAATCCAGCGCCCGCGGAGTTGGCCCGAAGGCGCATGCGCCCCCTCGGCCGGCGCGCGTCGGTGACGTCACGCGTCGCGCCGTCTCCGAGTCCCGACTGTGTTTCAATCTCTCATCACGCAAGTGCCAGCGGTTCTTTTGTACTCCTACTTCGCTGCCTTGGATTGAGGAACCTTTCTAGCTGAAAGCTTTTTTTCCTGTGATACTGAGAATTGTAATCCAGGGGCTTCGCAGAGCAACATCCCCAGCCCTTTTTAATTGTTTTTGAGACAAGGTCTCGCTGAAGCGCTGTTGCCCACGCTGGGCTTGAACTTGTGTTCTTCCTGAATCGCACAGTAAACTGGGGTAGCACACGTGCGCCTCCAGACGAAACTTTTGACGACAGACTTCTGGCGGCCCAAAGCCATTGAGCAAAGTGAAAGAGTCCGCGACGCGTGAAGGCGACATCATCAGAGCGTGCCGGAAGCGGGCCCACAATGACGAGTAAGGGAGGGTGTGAAATTGGAGGGGAGTTACTAAGGGTTGGGGTTTTGATGTTGGTGGATAAAATGAGTCAGGGCCACTTGTCACTGGTGTCTTAACTGAACTCTGCAGGAGTTGTTCACCATACTTAAAACAGACCCACAATGCAGGTCCCGCTGACTCCGTCTCTGAGCTAGGAATTGATGTCAGGGGACCAGACAAGCTCTCCTGGGGACTGTTCAGTGATGTGTGATGCTAAAGGGTAAGGGACCTTGGCCGGACCTGGCCACTGCCTCCCTGCCCTCGGACAAAGCGCTGCCTACCCTGCCACCTAGTTTTCCACCCTTTGTCTCGTATAAACTTCTGGGAGTTGCTGGGATTGATATCACCCAAGGCTTTGGAATAGGAACAGAGAAGAGATATGTCAAGGCAGAGAAGCAAGTACCACAGCAGTTATAGCCAGGGAAGTGTAGACACTGTAAAGACTGGGTAGATCAGAATTTTGATTCTCACGCCTGCCGCTCTTATCCTGTAAGATCAAGTTAAGTGACTCAGCATATGTAAGTTTAACTTTGTTGTGGTTATGATCAGAACTACCTACTGCAAAGGATTGTTTAGAAAGTGTAATGAGAAAAAATATGTGTAGCTTTCAGTCAACTGCCTGTCAAGAAATGAGTGTTCAATAACTGTTAGGTGTTGCAGAGAGACTTCCAAGTCTGATGCTAGGCATCTATGACAGGGGATGCAAAATCATTCCTGGGGTTCCAGGTCCTGCAAAATTCTCTGTACAAATAGATTTTAATCCCCATCTTCCATATGAGGACAACTAGATTCTTTATATGAAACTTGTGACCACTGAGGTTTGCTTGATCAGATATGTACTCGGCATCACAAGAAAGCTGGGACAAAATGTATTAGAGTGTAGTGTGCACTAAATTTTCTAACCATTTGGTTCTTAAACCAAGCCTTTTGTCCCATTCTTATTCCATTCATATACCTGTCATGTCTTCAGTGCCGGTCTTCTTCTTCAGAAAAATTAAGTAAAAAGCAGGCGTGTGGATGTGTATATGTTCCAGTTGCATGGATACTAACATATGAAAAAACTTTGGTTGTTTGTTTTTTCTGTGGTACTGGGAGTTGAACCCCAGACTTTTGGAATAAGATACATCCCCACCTCTTTTTGTTGTTTTGAAACAGGGTCTCACAAAGTTACTAAGTTGCTCAAGCTGGTTCTGAACTCATGACCCCTTTGCCTCATCCTCCCAGAGTGCTGGGATTCCAAGCAGATGCTACCATACCCGGCCTGAAAAACATTTTTTAAACATTTACAGTCAGCCAAATGTATTTTTAACCGTCTTACACAGCTGTATCACCTTTATTTTCACCTAACTTTTAAATAAGTTACATCATTAGACTTAGTGTAATTGCCAAATCTTCTAATTTACGTTAGAAAATTTCTAACAACTTTATGATCCATTTACCAGCAATAGCATCTAGGAATTTTTTAGAAATCCAGAATCTGGGCATAGGGACCCAAAACCTATGGCTTAATAAGATCTCTTTAAACATGTTCAAGTGTGAGAAGCATTCTTTGTAAGCCACCCTTAGAACTGCTAACAGACATGGCCAAAAGGGTGGCAGGATAAGAAGCATTCAAAAGACTGAGGGTGTAGCTCAGTGTTAGAACAGTTGTTTGGCATGCTTGACACCCTGGGTTTGAGCCACAGCACCACCAAAACAAATTTTTAAGGCATCCAAAGAAGCATTGAAGGTTTGTTTTTTCATACCAGCCCCATGTTGTACCTCTGAGTAAGCATATTTATTTGTCTTTCTGTTGTTGTTGTTGGATTTTTTGTTTGTTGTGGGGGGGGTTGGTACCAGGGATCAAACTCAGGACCTTGTGCTTGCAAGGCAGGTGCGGTGCCACTGAGCTAAATCCCCGGCCCTAGCATACTCATTTTTATAGCTAGAAAAGCCATGGGTCATGTAGCCATACTCAACAGTAATTAATCATTTCTTCTTTTTTAAATCCCCCAGGTGTGATCTACCATGCTTTTTCTCAAAAGGAAGCAAAAGAATATGATGTTCAGGTATGGTCTCTGGCAGGAAATCTAGGAGCTACAAAGGTGCTGGCAGAGATGGCTTAGTGGCTTCTATTTGTTTAACTGTCCTCTGCCATGTCTTACTCCTCATATTTCCAGTAAACCTTTTAGGCTCCATCAAGGTCTGTTGTACTGATATTCTCAGATGCAGCCTGCTCTCCTGTTGTCTCACAGTCAGGTTTGATAAACTTGGACTCCTTGATTTTGTGTCATCTCCCACTATGGAAGGACACTAGGCCAGGCCCACTTGAAAGCTGCCCCGATTAGCACCATCAGTTGACCTCATCACTATGCCCCTTTCGCTCCTGAAAAAGTCATGCAGATCACATTTCTTAAGTGGAACTTACAGATTATGTTCTGTAGCTCCACTCATGGCTCACAATGAGAGTATTACCTTGAGGTCGAGGTTTTGCTTCTCCGTGAAAGAGACCCCTTATCTATTTAAAAGAATTAAGTAACTGCTTTTATGGTGATGCTGATGAATTCATTTTTAGTTAACATCTAACAATCCAATGTTGAAACAGATGTAGTTCTGCCTTCCCTTCTGGGAGCTCTCTCAGAGATTATGTGAATCATATCTTTTCTTTCCCTTGTTTCTCTGCCATGCAGGAGGTTTTCATTACTATTGACACATTAACCTCAAGCTGTCAGATGCAGTCTACTTAGTGCTGAAAAGGCCCAGACAAGAGTTATCATGTGAGGGGGCACAGGCAGCCACTAGTTCTACGAACTAGTTTTGGTCCATAATGACCTAAGGAACTTGCCCAGGAGGATAAATCAACAACCACACAATGAAGAAAGTAATATACTGTATTGATGAACATTTTGGCCTAAGCTTTTCTAATCACAAATCTATAAAAATATTTCACAGACTGGCAGTAGTCTTGAGGCTCATTTTGAGCAGCACTGTTTAGATTACACTTTAATTATTAAAACTGTCTAAGCCTATCCTCATTTGTACAGTGAGAATGATAATAACTGCTTTAGAAGCTCTAAGAATCATACAGTGCTTTAAGGAGACATAGAGCTTGCAAATAGCAAGTACCAATTATTTATGTATTACTAACTACTGAGTTATGTGGAAAGTTGTTTTAAAAAAAATACATGAGAATAAAGCATAATACTTTTATTTGTTCCAAATGCTTATTTTTAAAATTAACTGAGGTTAAAAGTGGTTTATGTTCCAATGAATTTAACATTCAAGTGTTAAATTCAATATTAAGAATTTATAACCACAGTGGACCTGCAGAGTATTACCTGTATTTATAACAAGGTACATACTATAAGATGACATCAGCCGGGCATGGTGGCGCACGCCTGTAATCCCAGCACTCGGGAGGCTGAGGCAGGAGGATCGCTGTGAGTTTGAGACCAGTCTGGGCTACATAGTGAGTTCCAGGTCAGTCCCAACTACATAGTGAGACCCCATCTCAAAAAACAACAAACAAAAAAAGTGACATCTATTCCTTTTATCAGAGTATAGTCTCCCAATCAGACATGGAAGTGCAAAAGTAATAATGTTATCCTTTTTAGTGTTCTAGATTTTAGTTTCTACAACTTGTAAACTCAATTATTCAAGTATTTAGAAGTATTTTTCTTGTTCATATCTGATAAGGAGCTTTTCTCTAAGAAAATGAGTAGATTGTTGAAACTCCAACTTGAGAAGTAGTGACACTTGGGGCTTTTTCAAGAATTACCACAGATGTGATCATTATTGTGCCCAGAAGCCCTCTCTCGGGGCCTGTGTTTATCACAGTAAATTGACACTGATGCACCGTGTTGAAGAGGATAGTGAACAGCCTCACACACACTTGATTCTTTCTCCAAGTGGTACAGAAGCAGAGCTCTCGGAGACAGGCCACACTGTCCACAGCACTGGGAATCCAAGTAAAGGGGATTGTGATAGGGGCTCTGTCAGAATCCCTCCTGCCAGCCTTGGCCAGCCTAGAGCACCTGACTTTACTGTTTTCCCTGGTGTTAGGATCCTTTCTCTCATAGCCATAGTTTGGTTCTGTTCAGTTTGCCTTCTTGGGGTCATGACTAATTAAATGTCTGTGTTACACATTCTCAAGCTTTCCTTCCTTCCGAGGATAAGGGAAATCTTCCACATATAAGACTTTCAGTCCTCGGCAGAACAACCTCAGAGAAATAGGCAGGAAGTCACTGATACGGGTATTGTGTGAGACACATGGTCATAGGCTGTCATATGGATGTCAGTTCATATCTTGGAGCCTGTGGGTAGCAGACACTTGGCAGATGAGAGACTGTGTGAGCCTGATGGGTAGACAGATGGATCAGTGAAGACCGGCGCTCAGCAGTTACGGGTGGGAGTTCCTGGGGTCCTGGTGGCCCAGACCAGAAGAGTGAGCACTGCATCACCCTGTCACTGTGCAGCAGCTGGGAGCCCAGCGGGCGGAAGCTTTTGTGAATGCCTTCCTGAAGCGGAGCATGCCCCGCATGAGCCAGCAGGCTTGTGAGAACCAGTTGCAGCGCAAGGCTGTTATTCTGGAGTACTTCACTCGCCGGAAGCGGAAGGAGAAGAAGAAAAAATCAAAAGGCCTCTCTGCCAGGGAGAGGAGAGATCTGCAGCTCTTTGACATTAAGCCAGAGCAACAGCGGTAAGCCCTGCCTTTTCTGTACCTTCTTGCCCACGGGGGCTTATTCTTCTCATGTGTAGGCTTGGGAGCCCAGTGGCTTAATAGGGAGCCTCTCCATCCTCTGCCACAAGAGGGCAGCCTTCCTTTACCAATTCCTCTTGTGTTTGGGTTTGCTTTCAATAGCAAGGCATGAGGAGACTAAGGACTGTTATTATTTGGCTCCTATCCTAGCCTTAACTAATAAGACCACGCCATAAGTGAATCTGTTGCCCATGGCAGCAGACTGTTTGTCTTTTGGCTTTCTCAGACTGAGAAGGAACTGGGGATCATAAGTGAATCTGTTGCCCATGGCAGCAGACTGTTTGTCTTTTGGCTTTCTCAGACTGAGAAGAGGAACTGGTGATAAATATAGATATATATATATATATCTATATATATCTGTACAGCTTTTAATATCACTAAACAGAATCACCCACTGAGGTTTTATTGCCAAGGAAAGATGCTGCCTACACATTTCGGAAGTTTCTAAAAGGGATGCATCACTCTTGTGGGAAGACATTTTCCATCCTCTGACTGACTCTCCACCCTCCTTGGCAACCGTCTGAGTTTGCACATCTTGAGACTGTCATAGGCTTTTCCTAGAGATGTATAGGCAAATAGCCACCCACATTCCAGAAGACAAAGTGTGTCACTTTGATTGTGACACCTCTCACAAAATCAGCAGGGCTTTGGACACAGGAAACACCTCTCCCTGTTAGGGCTGTCTCACCAATGTTTCACAGGTAGCTCACAGGTGAGCTGGGACTTCATATAAATGGGTTCCCCATAAAGACCAGAATGAGTGGTAACTATCCCAAATGTAAACCTTTGTGTTCCTGTCACCTGCTCCCTGTCATTATTCTCCCCACAGCCTGCTTGCTCACCTTCCAGACAGACTTGTTACCTTAACAAGGACCCACATGGCAACCAGCAGATCTTGTGGACTGAAGGCTTAATTTCAATTTTATGTAACAAGAAACCTCACTGTGTCAGTGGCTTAAATTCATTTCTTGCTCATGAAAATGTTCAGATGAACAGTAGCCTGGGTTAGTGAGGAAGACAGGCCCACAGACATCAGGGATCCAGGCAGCAGATCACCACCAACTTCATCACAAGGCCTGAGATGACTGCTTGAGTTCCAGCTGTCGTGGCCACATCTGGCCAGCAGGAAGCAGCAACACAGGATAGAGAAAGGTCTCTCGTATTAGCAGAAACTTAACCTCATTCTCACGAAGGGACTACCATTGAGGAAACTGAGGTTCGAGAGGTGAAGTTACTAGATTTTAGTCAGATTTTATTTTGTTTATTTATTTTTTCCAGTACTGGGGATCAAACTTTGGACCTTGCTCTTGCCAGGCAGGCGCAGCACCACTGAGCTACTTCCCCAGCAGAATTTTAGTCAGGTTACCAGCAGGGAAAGTAGGATTTATACCCAGCCCCTAACTTTCCCAGGTCATCATTCTTGGCATCAAGACAAGCTCTGTACTGTTTGGACATTGTAATGCCAAACATGTTGCCTAACTTGTCACCTGTTTCTGGCTTTATCACAGATACAATCTTTTTCTCCCTCTTCATGAACTCTGGAAACAGTACATCCGGGACCTGTGCAATGGCCTCAAGCCAGACACGTGAGTTGTGTTTCTGAAGCTTGCCGGGGTAGATCCCGGGTCTTAGGATCACTGTTGGTGCCCCCTCAGGAACCAGCCATCTGCACTGCCTACCTGCAGAAGTTTGTAGACCTGTTTGCTTCGCTCAGAAATCTTTCTCATGGTGTAAATAGAGCTTCTGTTTATCTCATAGGCAGCCACAGATGATTCAAGCCAAGCTGTTAAAGGCGGATCTTCACGGTGCTGTTATTTCAGGTAATTTGCACCCAGTGGCAGCGTGGCGCATGTGTTTCAGTATTACACATATAGCAAACAATTTGAAAAAGTAAAAGTGAAAAGTGAAGGAGAAACTGGCTCTGCAGAGCAAGCTTAGACTAAGTAAAAGAGGAAAAAGCAAGATAAAAGTACACCCTGGAGGACACAGAGCTGACTATCATGAGGAAAGCCATGATAGCAAGCTCTTTGTGGCATCTGTGTCCTTCTATGCTGTCCAAATTTCAGTGAAGCCCAAGAGAACTTGTACATACAGGTCCCGAGAGGCAGTGCTAGGATCCCACCCCTCAGGATGTCTTCAGGTCTGGGCCGTCCTATTGAAAACCTGCTCAAGTTCTCTCAAGAAGTCCACATGCAGGGCTTTGGAAACTGTTCTGCCCATGGTTCCGGGATCTTGTAATTAGCATGTCACACCTTCTTTCCTGGGCAGCTTTGCCACACCCTAGTCTTCTCTGTCATTTCCCCCTGAGAGACGTACCCCATAATTCTTTATGGGGTGCTGAGGGAGTGGAGGTCTGTCTTCTATAGCTTCCTCAAGCTGGAAGGGGATAGAGACCCTACCTCCTGGAGATTATGTGCTCTCCAACTACCTTGGGTGCTCTAGCTCCCCCATGTGGGTTTCTTAGGGTCTCCAGATCATTAGCACTGAGGGCTGGCGATGGTTACAGCCATCTTGACCCATTCTGCCCTTTAATGGACACACTCCAGTGGTCTTTGTGAACCTGCACAATCTGAACAAAATCCCTGTCGTCTAGTCCCCTGGTTTTCAGTGTCGGCTGTGACAGACAGCTCTCACGTTGCCATATCCAGTGTCCACCCATCCCCTGAATGCCACGCTCATTCACCTGACTGGCCTCTGTACATGGCCGCTTGGAAGTCCAGCAGGCACCTCAGACTGTATATCCAAAATGGAACTCTTAGTCTCCCCTCAAACCAGCCCCTCATCTGGCCTTCTCTCAATGGAACTGCTATTTACTTTGTCCAGGCCAAAAATCTAGACGTTCCTTCTTCTCTATTCCCCACCTCTAATCTGTTAGCACCTCCTAGTACCCAAATCTAAACCAGTGTCATCTCCCCTAGATTTCTTCAGAAGACCCCTAACCCTTCCTATCTGACACATTTTCCCCCAACCTGAACCAAATAACCAGAATGGAGGTTTCATGTCAGAAATCAGATCGTGTCCCTTCCCTACTTTAACATTCTGGCAGTTTTCCATCCTGTTAGAATAAATGCTGCCTAAGATCTGAAAGGCCTCTTCAGTGTCCTTGGGCAGCAGGTCTAGCCATACTGGCCTTCTTTTTCTTCTGTCACAGAACCTTCACATTTGCTCCTTCCCTCTGTCCAGAGAGTTCTCTTGTTTGTTCATACACTGGCCTCTTCTCAGATGTCACTTCCTCAGAGTTTACTGTCACTACAGGTGACCGACCTCTCCACCCTCCTGGCTCTATCCTTATTTTTTTTGTGTGTGTAGGGGGGAGTACCAGGTGGTCCTTGTGCTTTTGAGGCAGGCGGCAGAACCACCAAGCTAAATCCCCAGCCCCCTGCCCTTATTTTTCATAGCACTCATCACTCTCAGAAAATGTAGCTGTCCGTGGTTTGCCCTCTTAGAACACAGCTCCATGAGAACAGGGTCTCAGACTCTCTCCATGCAGTACTGTGCCCCCAGCACCTACCTAGGACGCAGCTGCTGTGTAAGCAGGTGCTCAGGGAATGTCTGTTGACTGCGTCATGGGCAGGGTTCAGGACAGATGAAGGGTCTGCTGCCTATAACTGGTTCATCTCACATCACTGTCTGCTGGGCACCTCTGCAGCCTGATTCCCATTCCAGCCATTGCTTGGGAGGCCCTGGTTAGCTCATGATGAGCAGATGTTCACTCAGACCTGCAGCTGACACTTGGATCCTTTAGAGCAGCCAGACTGTGGGCCTTGTTAGTGCTGAACACATGTAGCCTCTGTCTCCAGGTCACTGCCTAAGATCCCAGTAGTCACAGGCCTTCCAGAGGATGGCTGTAAGAATAGCCCAGACCCTCCAGAGCCCCATGGCTTGGTCCCTGCCCAGCTGTGGAGCCTTTACCCTCAGGGTATTTTCTTTCTTTCTTCTGCTAGCCCAGAAGGTGGGACCAGTGTCCCCAGCCCCTAAGACCCACCTAATCTGTGGCTCTCCCAAGGTCACAGAAGCTGCCTTTCTCTTTTGCAGTTACAAAGTCCAAATGCCCCTCATACGTGGGTGTAACGGGAATCCTTCTCCAGGAGACAAAGCATGTTTTCAAAATTATCACCAAAGAAGATCGCCTGAAAGGTAAGTAGCCATGTCTCTGAGGGGCCCTACGGGCTGGCCTCCCAGCTGCTCCTTTATCCCTTTCTTTGAGGCTCCAGAGTCAAGATACATTGCAAAGACTTAGTGTTCTGTTTTGTTTTGTTTTGTTGTCTGGGTTTTGTTTTCTACTGTCTGGTTTGTTTGTTGTTTTGTTCCTTTTTTGTTTTGTTTTATTTTTGAGATCGGGTCTTGCTGACCTTGAACTCCCTGTGTAGCCCAGGCTGGCCTCAGACTTGCAGCAGCCCTCCTGCCTCAGCCTCCTAAGTACTAGGATTGCAGACAGACGTCACTATGCCCAGCTTTGCAGATACTGACTCTGTGATCCAAGCCTGCTGAGAACCCCCCATCCCGGCCCCTGGCTCTCTCCGAGGCATTTGTGAACAGAGCTGGCAGCCTCAGCCAAAACAGCCGGGGAAGGGAGAGCTGCTTGCCTGGGCCTCAGGGAACTGGGTCTGGCTGGGCTCTCCACTTGCCAGAGGTTGCTGCCTCCAAAAGAAATATAACTGAATAGATAATGGGAGGAAACCGAAATAGAGCCTGACCCTGGAGTTCTGAGAACCACACTCTTTGGGTTCCACCGGGGCTCACATTGCTTGAGCAGACACTGTGGGTCATCTGGGATTTCTGTACCCCATCTTTCCCACAAATCCAGGGGTTTCTAACAGTTGGAGGGTTTTGGAACACTGCCACAACCCCCTTTGGTGTTGGTGGTGGTGTGCTTGGGATCAAACGGATCCATGTATGGCACATGTTCTACATCTGAACTGTGCCCTAGTCCCTCTTCCTTTGATTTTGGGCCTTGGTTTATCTTGCTGCTTCCTTCCCTTTTCCTGTGTGTGCTTCTGCTCACGTTGTGTTCTGCTCACATTGTAAACCTGAGAAAGTGATGTGAAAGTTTCTCACTGAGCATAAGGCCAAGGGCCCGGCTGAAAGTTACATGGTAAACATTTCTTCAGTGCCTCTGGGAGCCTCTGTTTCATAGCTTTTGACCCAGAAAATGAGGTGTTACAGTATATTTAGAGTGTGAATCAGTTGCCCTGATGCCAGAGTAACCACACATAATCCTGTACTATCACCTTTGTGGGCTTCCCCCTTTCCTAATAGTTTGTTTTTTTAATATAAACATTTTATGAGTAACTTTCTACATAGAAATTAACTTACTGCTTCAGGTTTTCCTCATTCTTTTTCTCCACCATTTTTTTTTTCCAGTTATCCCCAAGCTGAATTGTGTGTTTGCTGTAGAAATCGATGACTTTATTTCCTACATTTATGGAAGCAAATTCCAGCTTCGGTCAAGTGAGAGGTCTGCCAAGAAGTTCAAAGGAAAGGGAACCATTGACCTGTGACTTCTTTGCCTCCTAAGCCAACTGTTTATGGCACTTGGAAATTGGAAACACTTGAAGTACCCACACTTCAGTGGCAGGATTCCAGTTATAGGCAGCTCCAGCCAGTGGAAATCAAAGCTGAGGGCACTGAATAACATAGGAAGATGTGACCTTCATTTTTTGATGCTCCTACGTAGAGGCAAGATTGGCGGAATCTGCACCAGGGTTAATTTTGGTTGAAGAGCAGGACTATTAGGTGATTTCTTTTTTGTAATCTTCTGAATTTTCTGAATGTTCTATGATAAATCCATTATTTGTGCACTAATAAAATGCACTGCAAATAAAGGAACTATTATTGTAGTCCAGTTGGGTGGAAAGAGAAGGGGAGCCCCAAGATCATGCTTTTCACTTGCTCCAGCCGTGAGCGGCTGCCCTGTGCAGTGGTATCTGTGACACTTTCAAGCATGCCTGCCGCCAAACTGAGCTAAACGAGGTCCACTTTGCTGTTTTGAAAAAATTCAACAGAAGTGAATGATGAAATTGCTCAGTGACTTAGGGCTAACTCAGTTGAGGAATTAGAATTGGGGTGGACCACGGAGGCAAAACACCAGGCCTGCGTGTGGTTAGTAATGGTTGACCCAGTACAGGTAGACTAATTTACACAGCGTTCTCCCTCCTGACTCTGTTAGCTCTAGAGGTATGGCCGCTGCATCTCTTTCCACAGTCAACCTGCTTGGAATGTCAAAGTCCCCAAACATTTTGATACCTTAGGTCTGTTCTTGCTACTGAGAAACCTTGCTCTAGCCTAACACTCTATCTTTAAGGCCACCTGATGAGGTGCTTCTGTGCAGCGTCAGAGGATGTGCAGGGTGGGAGACCAGCCTTCCAGGGTTGCTGTTAGAAGCCAGATAGCTTTCCAACTTGGGCCCAGCAGAATGGCTGCCGCAAAGAAGGATGGCAAAAGAAGGGCTGTTCTGCCGTCAATGAAGCGGTGACCCGGGACTACACCATCAGCATTCACAAGCACATCCATGGAGTGGGCTTGGAGAAGTGTGCCCCTCGGGCATTTAAGGAGGCCTGGAAATTTGCTATGAAGGAGATGGGGACTCCAGATGTGCACATTGATACCAGGCTCAACAGAGCTGTCTGGGCCAAAGGAATGAGGAATGTCCCATACTGTATCCGTATGAGGCTGTCCAGAAAGCATAATGAGGATGAAGATTCACCGAACAAGCTCTGTACTTTGGCAACCTACGTCCCTGTTACCACGTTCAAAAATCCCCAAACAGTGAATGTGGATGAGAACTAACTTTCAAATAAAGTTTAAAAACTGCCCCCCAAAAACAAGAAAGCCAAATAGGCAGAAACAGTTCAAAGGAGCAGTCACCCCTTCCCTTTAGGAGCCAGTGTGTGCTGACCGATGAAGTGTCACTCCTAGTGACACACAGCAAATCATGTGCCTTTTCTCAGGCCAGGAGAAGCAGCAATGGCAGACCTGGCTTTCTCAGTATTTCCCCCTCAGACTCCACACTGGAGGAAAAACAGTAGTGAAGGGAAGTATAAGTACTTTATTTATGACAGGAGAGCAGGAAGGCCTCGTTCTGCACCACTGCACATCCCAAAGGCACCGAGTGTGCCCGAGTCCCATGGGGACCAGCCCAGCAGCTTGGCCCTCTTCCTCCTGTGCTCACTGGGATGTTGCTGAGGCCACACGGGTACTCCCGCCATCAGTACCATCTTGCCACCTACAGTGCGCGGAGCCCACAAGCTGGCTTAAGTCCCCACACCAGCTGGAACGGGAAGCTGACCTGACAACTGCACCCTGTGGTGTGGCCGTTTCATGATCACGTGCCCAACGTCTCCCTGCCTGTGAAGGAAGAGCCAGGATTTGAACCCAGTATTCTGGTCCTAGCACTGGGCTTTTCACTTAAGTGGCTGCAGGGATGAGAGATTGTGCTAAAATACTTAACGTATTTCCTTTATCATCTGGTCTAAGAAAATCTGTGTCTTCATTGTACAGTGGCTTCAGCTCCAAGTACCTGAAGTGCCACATTTGTAGCAGCATAGGTGCTGTAACTCCTGAGCATCCTACTCATAGCCACCCTCCACAGTGTAAAAGGCATTGAATGTTGTGTAAATACACTGGTGCTTTCCAGAAAAGTTGTTGGTACCATTTGCCATGCGAAACCTGTTTTTTATTTGGCGCAGACTCAAGTTTCTGTGTGAGTGGCTGTGTAATTTGTGGACTTCTCCCCACTTCCCAGACAGTTGGTGAGAATGCTCACCCACCACATAGCTGCTGCTGTGCAGGCCTGTTTGCAGGATGCACTTATGTCTCCACACCAACCTTCTAAGGAGCAGAAGGAGAGAGGAACCTACATCGGGTGGCCGAGTCCCCACAGTCTGTGGCCTGGGCTCATCATGGAGAACACTGGTACTGAGTGGTCTGAACCATCTTCACTCAAGAACCAGGACTACCTTAGCTGAAGCTTTGGACATACAGACCTGTGTGTAGCATAGCTCAGTCAGCCTCGTATAAACCATGCACCAGAGGTACCTGTGCTCCAGAGAAAGTGCCACTGAAGCCCATGGGGAGGGCGGTTAACACCTCAGGGGACTGCCCGCCTGGGAGATGTCAGCCCCGGACACCGATGTTCTCTCAGCAGGCCTGATAACCCCTTTCCAGTTGTCAGGGCTGACAAGGATTCAGCTGCATCACAGAGTTCACAGGGTACAAGCCAGAGCCTCTGGGGGAGGAGGACAAAGCACCCAGAGGAGAAAGTGAGGGTGGTATGCAGGCGCTGTGGCCCTTGTAAAAGTCAACTTGAGCCTCTGAGAGTAAACACCAGACTGAGGCTGAAACAACAGATTTATTCTCTCACAGTAGTTCTGTAAACCAGAAGTTCAAGGCATTGGTGCTGTCAAGAGTTGGGTAGTGGGCCGGGGATTTAGCTCAGTGTCTCTTCTGCTTGCCTTGCAAGCACAAGGAGGTGAGTTCTATAGCCGGTACCAAAGAAAAAAACTGAGTTGAATACTGGTGAGGCCTCTTCTGGCTTCTGCCTTCTCTAGATCTGCACTGTCCTCTGTGCTCAAGGACAGAAATGCCTTTATAAGGACACTGATGTTGCCAGGTTAGGCCCCTACTCTATGACCCCATTTAACCTTAATTACTTCCTTAAATTTCCACCTTCAAATAGAGCATCATCATATTGGAGGTTAGGGTCAATACATGAATTGGCAGGGGACTGGAGGGGATATGTACTCAAATCTGCCCATAGCATATCCTGGTTTTCCCAACAGGATACTGATTGTACTTCCCAGGAAGACTCTGTCTGATACCACCAGGCCCCATCCTCAGACACTTGCCTGGTTTCCCCAGCCCAACATTCTGGGTGCTTGGACCACTAGCCAGTTCAGGCAGCCCAATGCTTAGCCCCCATTTCCACTGGATTCCATGACTTGCTTATATAGGAGCCCAGATTGCTTAGGTTCCTTTTGCAGTCAGTGTTCTATCACTGAGCTATACCCCCTGCTTAGGTTCCTTTTGATCTTTGCAAACAGCTGAACTCAACCTCCCTCTCCCTCCCATTGGGGTCACTAGGCAATCTGGTTGAGGGAGAAGATGTATATGCAAGTGGTCAGGGCCAGCAGAGGAGGCCCCCTGGGAAGAAGTGGCTCCAGATCTAGGCAACTGGAATAAGAAGAGCATAGTCATCCAGGTTCATGGCAGGAGCATGTAGAGTCACGGAGGACCCAGGGAATGGGACGTCTTGTGAGTGTCTGCCCAAATGGCTCAGGGCAAGGTAGGAGGAGTGGGAAGGGGATGTGCTTCCAGTCTCGACCCCATGGGAGATAGCTGAGGAACTTCCACATCAGAATCAGCAGGGTACATGTCCGAAACAGCCTGATCCTGGCCTGCAGCTCAGGCCTACTGAATCAGACTTCAGGGCAGAACCCAGATAGCTGTGTGTTTATCTAAGATCCTAGCTGTTTCCTCCAGTCACTAATATTTGAGGACAGTAGACCCCAGATCGTATCTAACATCTCTTCCAGCTCTGACGTCTGGACTTAATTTAAGATTCAGGACTCTTGGGCCAGTATTTTCTGGATACTGGAAAAGGTCACCAAGTGACTGATCTCTCAGGTTCTAAAAAGTAAACGTGAACATTTCTCCAAAGCCATAAATTATGGTAAAAAGCTTGCTTTCTGGACAATGGCTTTAGCATTAATTTAGTTTGCATTTCTTAGCTATAATGCCTCATTAAGACATCTGTTAAATGTCTATAATATTAATTTAATAGAGGGGGTTCTAATAGAACCGTATTGGAATTGTCCATTTAATTAACCTCATGGGCCTTTAATGGATGTCTTAAATAGACATCATTAACAAGAGTGCTAGACAAATTGAAATTAGAGTCAATAACATTCTTGGTAATTTTTCTTGAGCTGTGAAGGACAAGCACTGCTAAGCCGACAGGCGCAGAGAAGGGCTGCACGCAGAGATGTGTCAGAGCTGCCATCCCTGGGGGCATCTCCAGACGACAGGCCTCAAGTGGGGTCCACCATTCCATTCCCTGTCAGCCTTCCCTAAAGAAGATGATGCTTTTGGCCGTAGGAGGCACCTCTCAGGAGAAAGACCTGCCCCTCCATACACCTTGTACAAAAGGTTTTCTCTCCTGGTCCATCACGTGAGCTGGGTGAGAAATGGGTGGTGAGAGGAAGACAGAGGAGGACGTGGGAGCTCACCCATGTATTTATGGGTCATGGATCAAGGTGTGGTATCGTGGGACAGATCAAAGGAGGACAGGCTAGGATTGGGAAGGGTGGGTGAGCAGAGTGGGCTGAGACAGGGTGAAATGGGACATTACTACATGTTTTGCTTCCACCCTCACTGAACGGTTCTCACTAAATGATGCATTTTTCCAGAGTCAGTTTCCATTTGTTTTGCTCATCTGACCGCTCCTTCTTCCTACCCTCACCACAGTTAACCACTCCTCCCTCCTGTATCCCCACACTCCCGACTCCCCACTTCCCTGACCACTCCCAGTGTCCTGCAGTGGATCTTCCTCTTCCAAACTCTACATGTGGGGACACCCTGAGTGCCAGCTTCGGGCCTCTGTTCCACAGCAGTGGATTCCATGACTCCAGATGCACTTACAATCTCAAAACCATACTGTGGACCAGAGCCCAGTGTGTATCTCTGTTTTGATGGCTGCTGTATCCCCAGTTATTTAGAAGCATATCTGACCTCTGATGGGTGGTTAGACAATATG